AGCCTTGATTTCATTCCGGGCAATCACATTAAACAATCCACTGTGGACAACCTGACCATCTCCATGTCTAAAAGACTTACTGCAGTGATTAATGCAAACGGAAAATCAACGAAGTACTGATATTTTGTCTTTGTTATTATTTTTTTACTATTTTCATCATTTCATGCGTCCCCCTTCATTAAGCACTTTTACAGTTAGCCCTACTTAAGGAGCGCGTAATATAGCCATTTTTTGGAATTATAGTTTTTTTTAGTGAAAATTATATATTTTAACGTTAGTAAATATAAATGTACAACCTAACTATGCTTCCGTTTCAACAACAGTTCGCGTTATACGGATTTTTTTGCGCCAACTCATGTCATTTCATGCGTTAACACGCCTACTGTATGTGTAATTTTTTAGGAATGTGGCAACACAGAGACGACTCTCAGTGATACCATCGTTCCCTCAGAGACTACTCTAACGTCTCAAGGCTCTTCCAGAGAACCTGATTAGGGCATGGCTTTTTAAATCCTCTGCTACCTTATCAACATGTTTGACCAGTCCCTATACCTTATCCTTGTTTAATTAGGCCTACGAAACCAGCGATTGTTTGCAGAGGAACGTTCAACTTGTGACGTTTGGCAAGCTACGAAAGACCATTGAGACGGTAACCTGTGGCTTTAAGTGTCTCCGATTCCTTCCAGATACTTTTCACTCGTTCATGAGCTGATTGATGCTTCACGGTGTCCACCGGAACAATAAAAATTTACTCATCTTTCCTTGCTACTCTAATGACCCTTAATTTACTTACATAAGGAGTTCAGCGAGGCCGCTGGAAAATCAACAGTGAGGAGAATCAAAACGAAAAAAATTATCGGCGGATTGTAATATAATAATATTTTCGGTTGTTGCTTTTCATGCAGCAATAAAATCTGTGAAATTTATGCCTCACGCTGTGCGAGCCGTGAACTCTTATTCACTTTCGACTATGAAAAACTTCCGATAGAAACCATTAAGAAGTACAAAAACATCTGCGGCATCATTAAATATTTAAAGTCCGTTTAAAAAACTAGAGTGCTTGAGTGGATTTAGGACAGCATACTCGTTCTGCCTGATTAGCATACTTGTTGGTTTCAAGTACCGTTCCCGTCGCTTGCCAAAGAAAGAAACCAAATGCTAAGCGTATTCTGGAAAGGGGTTTTAGTCTTTGAAGGACACCTTTTCAATGAGAAAAATGTTGTGCGGAAACCGCATAGGGATTTTGTTTGGTTTTTAAGTTTTTTTTCCCGACAGAGGCTGAAGGACTATTTGCCTAGGCATTTTCGTTTGTCATCTACGAGAAAAAAGGAGGAAAGGCGCAGTTGGAGCTCGAGTTTATTTAGAAATACGCTACAACAGAGTTTGCTGGAAAGGCAAACTTCAGCCAAATTATACGAAACATGCATTTTAATGTGAATGCATATTCATAGGCTTACACGCAGACTCATGCTACTCTATTGTTGTGCAGCAAACATTTTATATTTATGGCCAGCATGAGAGTGCAGAGATTAGAAACGCGTAAGAGTTAAAAATGCAACATAAGAAATAACAGTTGTCACTTTTCTGTTTGAAGAGGCTGGAAAGATTGGCAGGGCACGAAGTGCTTTGCAATGCTTGCTATGAATAATTATCTGGTAAAAGACGAGTTTTTTCGAGGATTTTGCAATTCATCTGGAAAAAGGAACTTGGCTTTACTGGTCCTGAAATCACACGGAAGTTAAAATGTCAGGGGTCCTGACAAAATGCGCTCTTCTTTTAAACAGAAGGAATATTCAGATGCTCAGTACTGCCTTGCCCTACTATCACGCCTAAATATAATCATTAACATTACGGAAGGCATTAGGTTTCATAAGTTCAGGCCTCTCATATGCGCGTTTTTCCCCTAGCTACACAAATCATGCTTAAAAGAGTAGAGACTCATCTTGTTAGATTTCGTTCTTTATGTGAAAATTGTAATTAGAATCCAAAGCAACTTAAGTGCTACTTATAATTAAAAGCTCGCATCTCATGTAATTATGGGTCTGAGGTTAGCAAATGTGTCACGTAATATACCTTTCAGACCTAATTTTTCACATGTTTGTGACGCGCTTTTTGCATGCAAGGCGAGGCACGATAATGCTATAATTATTAGCAACGCTATGCTCAGTATACACAGCAACTTTAGAGCGATGCCAGTGGTACCTGCTCCTGAACGATCGTGGAAACCTTTTGCTCTAAGCCAGTAATTCGAGTTTGCATCTTCCTACAATGTCAGACCTAAGTTGGCAATCTAAATTTTAAAAATGCGGCCTGTGGTAAAGTAAAATTTGCCCGTCACCCATTTCTCCAATGCCCGCAGAGGGTCTGGTAGCCAGACGACGATGCATTCTGCCGTTTCAACCGCAAGTATGCCATTGATAACTTCGTCGACATGCAGCCGTAATCGTCCTGAGCAGACGGACTAAAATCTGTGAATTAAATCCACATTTGGCACGACTGCTTGATGTCATTTCCAGCTGCCGCCACTGCTGTAGACGAGAGCATACGCCGAGAGGGTTTTTACGACCGACATCAAGACCATGTACCTGCATGACATCTGCATTTTGTTGCAGAAGCCTGAATATCTAAGGCAGCAAGCACGATGCATTGATGAACTAGTAAAAACCACTGTGCAAAGGTCTACTTGCTTGTCATGTTTGCTTAGGTAGACTGGCTGACACCAGCTTAGCGCAGGAAGGAGCCATCTAGCAGACGACGTACTGGAAAGCAAAAAGGCTAAGTGGTTGTCAAAAGAAACAGCGTCAAATCAGTGCCAGACGTTTAAAGAGACAGTGCATATGACAAAGAGTATGCTCGCGAGAGTATCCGACCAGCAGCCGACTTATCCCATGAAGTGCTAGCTAAAACTCTAAAGTACCTTTCTTACTTGTGAATAGTACTTAGATAGGGACGAATTACTTGTAATCTTACGGCGCAATCCCAAAATACAGGCTTTTACTCAAGCATTTATGGAATCGCGTGTAATACTCATATTCAGTAAAAATGTTCGCTTAAGTAGCACGGTTTTGCCTCCTGATATTCGACGGGTATACAAATTTAAAAGTATATTTATGGAAAAGACGCGAATAAATGTTTCATTTTGCGCTCATTTGCTGAGGCATTAGTGATTTTTTTCATTCGCACACTTGAAAAAGAAAAAAAATTGGTTTTTGAAAAGGTCGCAATTATAGGATATCTCTAAGCAACGAAATGTCCACTTAAGTGGTGTATTATCCGTCTGTTTGTAAATGGTGCTTATAAAGGATCCAGCACGCTAAACGTCCGTTAGTTGAGTTAATGAGACCTTGGCGCCATTGCGTATAAAATTTTGTGATTCCCTTACTCCGAAAATATGCAGTGTATGGTTTCGAAATCTTGGGCGCGATTGCAAATGTTGCTGGAATCCATTTTAGAGACGTTAAATGCGCTGACCACGCTATTACCGGACATGGCGACAGTGTTGGGGTTTTTATGACTTCTCAAACTGTGAACATGGCCTTTGTTCAGATGGAAAAAACCAATCTCCTGAAGAAGGAGTTACGATCGCCGAGACAAGAGCTTTATTAGCCTGACGTTTCGAATTCCTGCTCGAACCCATCATCAGAGACAAAAGCAGATACGGCTGTTTCATGCATAAGAAGCTGCAGTATTTAGAGGATGCTGTCGCCATACTACCGCATACCTATGAATATTCACAGCTGCCCACCCCCGCCCCCCCCCCTTCATCAGGGATCATTGCAATTGGTGTGCTGATGGATTGACGGCCAACATTCGCATCGATAATTGCTGCAATTTCATCACGTGAATTAGATGTTGGTGTGATGATTGCTCGACCCTCCGACGCGCTGACCCTGTTGTTGGGACAGGTGTTCACCTGTGCGCTCCCCGCAGAGCTAATTACTCCGCCTAGGCGAAGTCTCAGTACTGAGCATGGAAGTGGAGGGTCGTTGCATTTGTCAATAGTCTGGGGGCCAGTTAACCATGACTCGAGCAGCTCACGGCTCACGCGGTTGTCACCTCTAACAAAAATTTCGTCCTTGACGAATTTGAATGTGCGGCCGGATCTCTTCGAATGAACCGCAGCTTGAGAGCTGGCGTCATTTCTCTGCACCGTTGCAGCGTGTTCAGACATTCGCTTTCGTGGCTATCTTCTGGTTTCTCCGACGTGGTAACTTTGTCTGAAACTGCATCATACCCGATAAACAACTCTGGACGTTTCTTGCCATGGCAGCGGGTCTTTCGGTTTCATTAACTGACGCCCGATGGTTGCCTCCGGTCTGTGTGCTACTCCAACCCCAAGTGGTGCAAGAAGGCGGCCGACAGCTTCCGAAGCGTTCTTGACATACGGACGCGCTCACCAAAATTTGGCGTCCGTACGGCTAGGCCTTTCGTACCTCTTGCGTATGTACCGGTTGACGAAGTTGCGCGGGTAACCGTTGGTTTTGAAACCCCATCGGAGGTATTGTAGTTCGACAGTTTTGTCTTTCGGCTCACTGCAGTGCGTTTCGACACGCTGATAGAGCGTCTTTAAACAACTGCATGTGTGGCTGATTTGGTGGTTGCTGTTGAAGTTCAGTAATTCCATCATATTTGTCGCTTTCCTGAACTCTTCGGTCTTTAGTCCACCACAATCTTTGCGGCATACGAGGACATCGAGGAAGGCCAGCTAGTTGTTCTCTTCCTCCATCTTAAATTGAATGGCCCGGAAGATCGTATGTATGCAGATGCTCCCTGAATGTCAGCAGCTGATCCCGGTCGATAACTTCAAAGGTGTCATCCACATACCGGGTCCAGAATTTCGGTCTGTGGTTTTGGAAGACCACCGGCTCTAACCCTTGCAGGACCGCCTCAGCGATGAATCCTGAAATCAGCGAACCCATTGGTGTGCCCTTCACCTGTTCGTAGATCGTCCCGTCGAACGTGAAGTACGCTCTGAGACAGAAATTCAGGAGCTGGAGGACTTAGGCGTGCCCAAGACGATTCTCCGTTTCATCGTAGAAGCAACTCGATTGTCTCGATCGCCAGGTCCTGAGGAATAGAAGTAAAACGAAATGGAACATCAAAAGATACCATGATTTCATTTGGATGGAGGCTTCCTCCTTTGAGGTTCTCCAGGAATGTGCTGGTGAAGAGACCGGGTGATCTGACTCAGCGGTCAGGAACTTGAGACCCCGGAACAGCCACTTGGCCAGTCCGTAGTTTTGAGTACCTTTGAGCGACACGATGGGTCGTAGAGGAGCGCCGTCTTTGTGTTCCTTAGGGAGCCCATGGAATCGGGCCAAAGCCGTATCATGGGGTCTCGTCATGCGTCTGTTGGTCGGCGTTAATGCACCTGAGCTCACCAAGGCCAATATCGTAACATTTATTTCGCGTGTCAGCGCTTTTACAAGGTTCTTTGGGGATGGGACATAGAACTGGCGGTCTTCCAGTAAACCTTTGGCTCTTTGAAGGTAGTCTGATCTGTCCAGTACAGTCGTGGAGCGCCCCTTGTCCGATAGCACGATGACCAGTTCTTTGTCGGCATTCAGTTCGCTAAGCGCACTACGTTGGACCTTGGAAAGCACTACCCGTGGCTTGTGGGCCATTAGCAGGGACGACACTGGGTGTCGGATGAGGCTCTTATTCTCCTCCGTTGCCTCCGTCTGACTAAGGATTGATTCCACTGCTGCAATCATGTTAACAGGTTTGGCGTCAGCCGTGTTGAATAAAGCTTCGTGCCGTAATACCTGCATCTGTTCCTTTGTCAGCCCATTTGACGACAGTTTGTACACCAGTTTGTAGTTTCTGGGCGACGTTGGATTGGACAGCATACGGAATTTGTGCTTCAGTGCTGCGTCGAACATCACTCTCTGTTCGCGGACTTGTTCAGGCACTCTTTGTAGGAGTAGATTTTTACCAATATCGTCCAGGAACTCGCAGAATCTGGCCTTTTCTTTGTCACTTCTTTGTCGGTACTTGCAAAGTTTCGTATGAAAATCTTGGAGGAGTATTCGGATCTTCCTTCTGCTATGCTGAAATACTATCTATTCCGCCAAATCCGTGTTAACCGAAAATGATGGGTTCGAGAAGGGATCAGAAACGTCAGGCTAATAAGTCTCCTGTCACAGCGATCGTGTCTACTTCTTCAAGACTGCTTCCTGGGACCCGTTTTCTCACTTCGATTGGCAACGCTACCCTTCAACTTTGTCTAACGCAATTGCCACCTATACACGGAGGCCCTGGATGTTGCTAAAATGCAAGTGAAGTATAGCAAGACACTTGACAATCTTAGCCGCATGAATGAAATCTACATGCTTTGCTCAACGACATCCAAAACACATTTGGGATGCAGGCACCTTTCTTAAAAACAAAGCAAGGCTACCAGCGTACAGAACCTTAGGGAAAAGGACAGTTCGCTGAGTAACAACTATCAGAAGAACGTCTTCATAAGGTCAGGATTGTTCTGCTTGTATCATGACAATCGAAAATAGATGGCCCGTGTGGCTTTCGGTCTGAAAAACAATATGTGAACCAGTGCTGCTCGATTAACATGATCAAGGTTTAGATCCCCTCTTACCGTCCCCCCTGCTTAGTCTGTCCCAAGAACTGCGCATCAATCATTTAGTCACCTATTTGGGACTCCTTGTCAATCATGATTCCTAATGGCATGCAAGCAGAATTATTTAGCTTTATTCCAACTCACAATCAACCGCTCAGTTAGAGTGGACACTACGAATAATATTTCCCAAACAGTTGTAAATTATCACGATTGTGTGACATCTGAGTTTCTTGCTGAAACGTTCTTCCACGGTTTGAGATCATTTGTGCATATACATAAATATATAGAAATATATTAATGATAGTGGGCGCTCACCGATCAGGTTACGCAACATGCTCGTTCCGTTGTGCCTTGGGGCTCATACTTAAACCCTCGCAGGCAGTCGCACAGCGACCAGTGATATATGTTGAGAAGGTGATACCGACAAAGACAAGGGAGACCGGAATGGCCATTTATGGCTTATTAGCCGTCATCAGCCAGTCATACCCAACCCCAAGTGTGGATCACTTGAGATTCGAACCCGGGATCTTTGGTCATGGAGTTGAACGCTCTACCATTGAGCCACGGGCCCGTTGTACTGTCGGTTGTGATCGGGAATATTAATTATGATAGTGGGCGCTCACCGATCAGGTTACGGATCCTGCTCGTTCCGTTGTGCCTTGGGGCTCATACTTAAACCCTCGCAGGCAGTCGCACAGCGACTAGTGATATATGTTGAGAAGGTGATACAGACAAATACAAGGGAGACTGGAATGGCCACTTCTGGCTTATTAGCCGTCATCAGCCAGTCGGCTAATAAGCCAGAAATGGCCATTCCGGTCTCCCTTGTATTTGTCGGTACCACCTTCTCAACATATATCACTAGTCGCTGTGCGACTGCCTGCGAGGGTTTAAGTATGAGCCCCAAGGCACAACGGAACGAGCAGGATCCGTAACCTGATCGGTGAGCGCCCACTATCATAATTAATATTCCCGATCACAACCGACAGTACAACGGGCCCGTGGCTCAATGGTAGAGCGTTCAACACCATGACCAAAGATCCCGGGTTCGAATTTCAAGTGATCCACACTTGGGGTTGGGTATGACTGACTGATGACGGCTAATAAGCCAAAAATGGCCATTCCGGTCTCCCCTGTCTTTGTCGGTATCACTATCTCAACATATATATCTATATATTTATATAGAAGTAGACGGGAAGGCGATCGCTGGGAGCAGTGGTATATTTGTCCGACGTTTCGAACTCTCACTCGATCCCATCGTCAAGGAATGAAAATACTGTACAAGTCATCGCATATTTAGCTCATCTCTGCCGGGAATGACCTCAAGCTGCGCTGCTGATTTGTTCACGCAGTGCTTGATAAGCGATTGGCAGATCGATATGTCGATTGATCGTGTCCTCAGTTGAGTGCCACGCTTCCTGCAGCAGGCGAGCAACTCGGTTGTCTGACTGCCCCAGTATTCTCATGCTCTCGAAGTCAAAGGCGTGCCCTGGCGAGGAGGCGTGGGCGGTTACCAAGGAGAGTTTGTCGTTCCGTCTCACGGCCAATTCATGCTCGTGCATTCTCGTGCGGACCTGTTTGCCGGTTTCACCAACATAACTGGCCTGACCGCAATTGCAGTCTCTCCGGTAAATGACTCCCGATTTCTCATCTATGGGAATCGGATCCTTGGGCTGCATGAGTTGCCGGCGGATTGTTGCTTCAGGTCTGTGCGCGACGCCGATCCCAAATTCGCTCACCAGTCTGGCGAATTCTTCTGACAAACCAGCTATGTACGGCACTGCGCGCCAGCACTTCGGTTTCGGCTGCCCCTTCGGTTTTCTTCCCCGGATTTCTCGCCTGCACTTTTCGACGAAATTCCCAAGGTAGCCGTTCATGATGAAGAGTTTCCTCAGGAACTGCGCCTCGGCCTTCTTGTCGGCTGGCTCCGTGCAGTGGGTTTCTACACGTCGGTAGAGTGTTCTTACGCAGCTGCGTTTGTGCGAAAGGGGGTGGTTGCTGAGAAAACTCAGAATACGAGAGGTATTCGTCGCCTTCCGGTAAATTGTTGTTTTTAGTCCCCCATCGCCTTTTCTCTGGACTAGTACGTCGAGAAACGGCAACTGGCCATCTTTTTCCTCTTCCATCGTGAACTGCATATCCGGGAAAATCGAGTTCAGATGTTGCGCGAATTCCCCAATCCTGTCCCGATTGATGATGACGAATGTGTCATCAACATACCGTACCCACAGTCGTGGTCGGTAGTGATCAAAAGCCAGTGCCTCCAGTCGTTGTAACACTGCCTCAGCAATCAAGCTGGATAACGGCGACCCCATCGGTGTACCTTTAACTTGTTCGTACGTGGTTCCGTTGAAGGTGAAGAAGGTCTTCAAGCAGTGTTGCAGGAGATCGACAAGGTGTTTTATCTTAAGTTTGTTGTCCGTCTCGTTATAACGTTGCTCCAGCAAGGTTTGCACAGTTTCAACCGCGAGATATTGTGGGATCGAAGTGAAGAGTGATATCACGTCGAAAGATACCAACACTTCGTCATCTGTAAGTCTGATACCTTGCAGTTTCTCAAGGAATTGTTCTGCTGAGTTGATGGTTGTTTCAGAACCTTGAGTTAGAAATTTCAGGCGCTGGAACAGCCACTTAGCCAGGCCAAACGTTGGGGTGCCTCTTAGAGAAACGATCGGTCGTAGGGGGGTTCCTGGTTTGTGGACCTTGGGTAGACCATAGAATCTCGCGATCGCGGAATCTTTTGGTTTCATCCTCTGCCAGTCAAACTGTGTTATCGCTTTTGACTTCCGAAGATTTGCCAGGTCCTCGTTGATTTTGCTCGTTAGAGTCTTCGTCGTATCCCCTTCACAAGGAATGTAGGCAGTTCTATCGCCCAAAAGGGCCTCGACTTTGTTGACGTAGTCCTCCTTGTTCAGTACGACCGTCGATCGTCCTTTATCGGCCGGGAGTATGATAATGCTTTTGCCGGCCTTCAAAGTTCGAAGTGCTTCGTTTTCTGCTTTTGAGAGCATATTACCTTACCTGGGCTGCGCGTACTCTCTATCATTCGGAATACATTCGGGCGCGAAGCGCTTAAACCAGTGCGTCGATGGGAATCCTTCTCCTGTCGACAAGCTTCAATGTACGCTCAATTGAGTTTCCTGCACAGGTGCCTAGACTCAAACACTCTGCCGCGATGCCTCTCGTATAAATCGCCTGTCAACACCGAGCTAGGTAGGCGAACAGTCTTACAACACGGACTCAGAATGATTCGAGTTTTAATCCAGGATTGTCACCTTCGACTACGCAAGTACAAGGCAGCAATTGAGGATGAACAAGCGAAGTGCTCAAGGATCCTTGGAGAGACGCTGACAAATGATCTTTATCGTAGCATTTCTCTCAGTTCCAGGCGCATTCGCGATGCACGCGAGTCCAAACTGAAGCAGAAGTTGACCACATTGAGCGAAAAGAACGGAAGCCTCTGTCATGATAATTTTGTGCACAACCTATCTTCCAAACAACTGACAGCAGAGCAGAAAAAAGTCCTGAGCCATGATGCCTGCTTCAATACGACGGACGCCCAACCAATTGACTTCATCGCAGCTGCGGAATTGGTCATTCGTGAAGCCCCAATTACTGAGGAAAACAGAAATCTGCTACGACAGCAAATATCCTCCAGAGACATGTCCCACAAGAAACGTAATATGCTCTCAAAAGCAGAAAACGAAGCACTTCGAACTTTGAAGGCCGGCAAAAGCATTATCATACTCCCGGCCGATAAAGGACGATCGACGGTCGTACTGAACAAGGAGGACTACGTCAACAAAGTCGAGGCCCTTTTGGGCGATAGAACCGCCTACATTCCTTGTGAAGGGGATACGACGAAGACTCTAACGAGCAAAATCAACAAGGACCTGGCAAATCTTCGGAAGTCAAAAGCGATAACACAGTTTGACTGGCAGAGGATGAAACCAAAGGATTCCGCGATCGCGAGATTCTATGGTCTACCCAAGGTCCACAAACCAGGAACCCCCCT